CGATTCATAAGAAATAATAATAATAATAATATTTTCTTTCTTGTTTTTTATGTCTTTTGTTTTTCGTTTTGGCTTTTAAATTAGTTTTTTTTTTGACAAAAATTGCCAGCTTAGTTTAGTTTTGTTATTGCATTTAGTTTTCCTTTTTTTTTTCTTGTGTGGGGAGATGAAGTTTGGGTTAGGATGTGAAGGAAAATTGGAAGAATTTACACTTGTGTTTTATTCTGTTCCTTCGCCTCACACATCATTCCCAAGTTGTTTCACATACTTGAATGATGAGTATGCATGGAATGTTTTTTGAGTCTTTAGTTTTATGATGTAAATCACAGAGAGATCTTCATTGAAAATCAGGAAATATTGGATAGATTTTCCATCCTAGAATAGAGACTATTCAACAACTGACTAGTTTCGAAATGTAAATTCCAGAGTTCTGATAAGAAACTGTAACCAGTGGAGTTCAATTATGCCTGGTGTGAGACAGTGAACCACCAATGATACTGGAAAATTGTTGGATCTGTTGCAGTTGCAAATGTAAACTAATATATGCTGATTCACTGGTTTAAAGATTAAGTGTCCACCGACAAACCCATGAGTCCCGTATTCGAACCCTGGTCTGTTTGTGTTTGAGCACCACTGAGGGGTTCCAAACTGGAACAAAATAACTGTCCAATGCTTGCTGGTTTTCAATCGTTGTTTTACTATGGTTGCTTTGTGATATAAACCAAAAAAACACAATCTCTTCATGCGAATAAAATCAATCAACTATGAAACATACTATCAGGATTACTCTTTTTATCTAGCCTTCATATAAGTTAGAGCTTTGTGGCTAACTATCTAGTGCACTAGCATCGTACACAATTGCTTAAATGGAGCTCATGTTGATCTTTTGTGTTCTGATTCACTTGGCAATTCATTTTTTTGTAAATGGTCACCAAAAATTTTGCTACCCTTGTTTAAGCTAGATGTTCTAATTGTTCAGCCTTCATCGTTTCTGTGAATATCATTTGTGTCTTACTTCATGAAGTGATTTTTTATCACTTAACAGAAGAGTTTTGTCTCTTGATCTTGTCTCAGCTGAATATGACAATGATCAAACAATGAGTTGATAAATAAATGACCAGTTCGTAGGTTTTGTTCGTCACAGACTGATTTTAGTTAGGTCACCCACAGGGAATGAGATGTAATTCGTAGGGTTCAAACATTTCGGGAGTGAAACAGTGGTCACTATTGGCACTAGATAGTCGTTGCACTATATCTCACATTGAGGAAAGTTGAAATCATACCATTAGATGCTAGTTCAATGCTTATTGTGATTAAACATTCACTTTAAGACCTGAAGGTCCTCAATTGGATCCCTGATGGGATCATAGTTGTAGAACTCTGTGGGCCATCATTTTAAGACGAAACAGCTATATAAAGCTTGCTGTTTTGCAATGGTATCTCAATTAAGAGCAATCTGTTCCGAAAACAACCTATGAATTCAATCTTTACAAAACCTAATAAACTAGCTCTTTTATTCAGATTCTTTGTTTAGATAACAATCAGACTCATTAAATTCAATCACATTAGTTACTTTATCTAAATATAATGACTTATTGTGATAAGAGAATTATCTTCAGCTTATCTTATGTCAAACAGGAATAATCATGCATGAAGCATAATAGGATTAATGGAGTGTTTTAGAATAATCGATTTGTAGATGATCTTCAGAATTACTCTTGGTAAGAATTAGTTTTATCTAACAAAAGTTACATTGTTCAAGGTTCCTTAGTGGTATAAAATGAGTATTCATAACTGTATCTTTCCCCAGGCTTTATATTACATAATTTCATTTTACCAAACGGAAACTGTAATGTCAAAGTTATAAATAAGATCCTTATTTAGGGTTTTAAAAGTACTGGATACAACCACTTTTAAGCAGAGTTGGATAATGGTTGGCAGTTGAGTCTAGTACGTGCAATTCTTCCTATTTGAGGCTCGTCAGCCGGATGTTTATCCACTCGTGTCCATGTTCACTTTGGGACTCGAACCTAGTGTTCTACTTTAAACGTCTAGCACACTGTCTACTTAGTCTTCGAGTTCAAATATCCACTAGCTTGTGTAACATTATATACAATGTTTAGGGGGTAACAAATAATCTAATTGGTTAGAAAAAAACCTGATTAAAGAGTGGCACACCCTCTATCGTTCCTTGGTCTTATGACAAAAAGTTGTGTGCTACTGGCCTTAGACAATCGTCTCTTGGGCTCTGTGATCATGTTATACTATTGATGAGACTAGCAATACTAATACTGTTTTTTATTCATATCCGCCAAGAAAAAGCATTCTTTTCGGTTTAATTCAAAACGTTTGGAAAGGTCAATGAACTTCTGCTGAATTGATAACTGCTTTGAAACTCATCCCAGCAGTCTCTGAAGACAATAAAGAAGTGGTAACATGTCGGTGTCAACTGCGTGCCTCTCACGGTACTCAACATATTTTTGGTTATAATCAAACCTCTAGTATTTCTTTTCCAGACTAGATAAGCAATCCTTATCTTGTTACGCAAGGAGTACAAAAAGTGCATTTTGTTGACTAGACAATCAATTGATTACTGAGTGGAAACCAATTTCATTTCCGTATGATCCTTTAGTTTTCGAATTTTATCGACCGAGTTTCAACGTAGCCACTAGTCTCAGTGACTTGACATCGTGTGCGCCATATTGACATATTGGGTGGTTAGATATGGTTGACAGAATATCCTAAACTTAGGTTCCATGCTATTTGGCACTTGTCATTAGCTTCACAGTCTATATTGCGGATTCGAATCCACTAGAGAGCATCATCTCCCTTACTGATGAGTACCAAACAGGGCGAAAGCTAGCTTCACGGCTTCCTATCGACCACCCTCAACCATCTATCATCGAAGAGTATCCATAGTTCTTTCTAACCCGAGTTTGTGTATATAACCTGAGCAACCATATTGTAATTGGCAGAGTTAAGTTTTAAATCGTTATAAAACACTGATATTTCGTCTGATTTATAATAATAAAACTATTATCTATTTATGTAAATGTTTAATTATAACTCATCAATTTGCAGGTATACTCATACACATAATGGATTCACAAATAAGAATAGCAAATAACAGTGAGACTATAATCTATGAACGACTCTTGAGCGATGGTAAAGTGACCTTGAGAGTGTTCACCTAATAACCAGGACCAAATGAAGGTTATAAACCATCATGAAGAATTATAATTATGATTTACAATTGATGGTTAGGGTTAGGAATTAGATTTGAAGTTTTCATCACGAACTGACATCAGCTGAAATGCCAAAACGCTATTTAACCAATTGGGTGAATGAATTTCGCACCAGAATTCATGACCTGTTATCTTATACTTGGTTGGTTTGTTCATAAATTATAGTCTCGCCATGATCACATGTGATCATTTGATGAAATTGAATAAATAGATTTCAATAGTTGAGATCATGAGCTAATTAAAGTTAGATCATTATGGAAAACTTGGACGCATTCGACGACCGTCTCGTCCTAATGTGGGACTCCTCATGATCTCGACTATTGAAATGACCATGATATCCACAAAAACCCTTTCTGATACAAATAGATTTCAATTGTTATATGTTATTGAATATGATAAAGATTAAAGATAATTACATTGTTTAGTTGTCCAATTCTAAACGTATCAGCTGGATGTACACTGGAAGTTAATATTCAACTACTAAGTCTAGATAATTAATAACTTATTCTCCAGACAAAAAAGTTTACCTTGTGGTTAGTATGAGTTAGAATTAACTAGACTTAATAGACAACGCGTTACTATTTGATATGGGATGTGAAATCTAGTATGATCATCAAAACTGTATTACAAATTCATTCTATTGATGAATCCGAAATAGGACAAAACATACATCTTAGATTCCACAGTTTATCTTTAACTATTAAGACGATTCAAACTGCATAGAGCTTATATATGTCAACAAAGACTAATCAGAATTCAGTCCTAAATATCTTTACTAATGATGATATAATTCGATTATATCTTGTATAATCATCAAAATACACCGAGATCTCTCTAACATCATAATAATATTGGAACATAATCAGCGAAGTGAATAAGTATGGATTCTTATAAGTTTTTCCATTGATACAATTTATTCACAAGTTATGTAGATTTATATCATATACAAGAATAAGTTTATTATCTATGTAGATTTTAATAAAAGTTACCTTGTTAGTCTTATATTTATCTGTTAGGAAATTCTTACTAGCTTACTTACACCTGTTACCCCCAATGAAGCATAGGCTGACGACTAGCATTCTTTAACCCACTTTGCCATGGACCCTCCTTTCCAATTCCTGTTCATTCTTCTCATGTATGTCTCCATTTCTCGGTGTAATGTGTTCTTTGATCTTCCTCTTCTCCTTTGACCTTGAGGATTTGGACTGAGGGCTTACCCTGTGACACAGTTGAGTGCTTTCCTCAATGTGTTTCCTATCCACTTCCAGCACTTCTTCCTGATTTCTTCCTCCGCTGGAATCTGGTTTGTTCTCTTCCACAGTAGGTTGTTGCTGATACTATCTGGCCAACAGATTCGAAGTATTTTGTGTAGACAACTGTTAATAAACACTTGTATCTTCTGGATGATGGTTTTCGTAGTTCTCCAGGTTTCTGCCCCATATAGTAGAACTATGTTGACATTTGTATTGAAAATCCTGACCTTGGTGTTGGTTGACAATTGTTTTGAATTCCAGGTGTTCTTCAGTTGTAGATATTCTGTTCTTGCTTTGCCGATCCACGCCTTTACATCTGCATCAGATCCACCGTTTTCATCAATAATTGTCTAACAGAAGCACCTCTGGAGTGAATGGAATGCTCGTTATTAGAAGTCATATTTACTTAATGAACGTAGGGGTTTTCCTAATACAAATAATTCATTTTAACAATCATGTTCGCCTAGAGTTGAGAATGGAATAAAGACGTTGTTTTTCTTTTCTCTTTTTTTTTTGTAGAATACGTGATCGGATCTCATTAAAATCGATCATAACTAACAAAGGTACATTTATCCTTTTAATCTTCCTGATAAATGAATTACTATTAATTTCTTATATCATTTTGTATTAAAAGATTTTATACATTTATCATTATTAACATCATACATGCTTAATTATGAAAGAAGTTTTAGACATATTTTATGAAGACTGATCAACTGAAGTCCTAAACACCAATCGGTTGATTCAAGTAAACAATACTAAGTGAATTCAAACTTCGTCTCATTGCACAAGCTAGTGGCTATCAGGACTCAGTAACTAAGCGGATAACGTGATGACGTTTGAAGCGAACGGTACTTGGTTGGAGTCCCAGAGTGAACATCAACTCTGAGATACAGGTACATCCAATTGACGAGTCCTGAATAGGACGAAACGCGTGTCTTGAATTTCATTGCCAACCATCATCCATCTTTGTTTATAATGCTTGTAAATTAAGATAATACTAATACAATATGCACGGTATGCACATATTCCAATAAGAGACTGATCAATAGCAGTCCTAAACATCAGTGTGAAAATTCAAGCAAGCTACGACAACACTTAGTAGGCTCAAGTTTCTGCATTTGTAATCCAAGTGAATCCAACTAATAACAGGTGAATAGAATGAAACTTGTTTCCAAAATTTCACAGCTAACCACAATATGGATTTAACAGTCATGTACACAGTTTTCCCTCTAAATTTCACACTTCAGCAAGAGATATCTGGAGAGTTAGTGTTCTCAATGGGAATCGAACTTAAATCACTTAGTGTCAAATTCACAAGTTTTGTCACTGATCCATTTAAGCTATAATCGACCTCTTGTTAATATGTATCAGCTGACACAAAAAAACTGATCGATCACCTTCACATTAAGTAGTGACCACGTTACAGTTTTGCTCTGGATAGAATTGAAGTAACATTAACAAGTCGATATTAGTTCCTACTTGCTGATTTCATTCATATTTCATTTATCTTACACAAATGATGAAGTTTTCAAAATAAGGACAAAGTTCGTTATTGTGAATGGTTTAAATGTTGTTGCGACAATAACAGCGTAAAAAGATGACGTAATATATTATTGTGGTCATATATATATACCATATATATATCGGTAGTTTCGGGTAGTTGGTAGGAAACTGTGTACCCAGTTTTCGTGCTTTTTGGTACTTGTCAGCAAGTTGCACCCGTAATCTTTAGGGAACTGGTGTTCCCTGGCTGGTTCCACCCAGTGCCATTGAGCTTCACAGTCAGAGGGTATACCAATGAGAGCTTCGGTTCGTTCAGTATAACAGTATACCTTACTGACGAGTAGCAATCAGCATGAAACCTAGGTACAGGGTATCATGTCTATCACTTCCAATTAACAATTTGCAGTTCAACATGGTTTACACGATGTCGAGTCACCTAAACTAGTGGTTACGTTGAAACGTGATCCATAGAATTCGTTTAACATTAAGAAGGAATCCACGTACGGAACATTGGTCATTACTCAGTGATTAATCATTATATCAACAAACTGGTTGGTAGGTAGTAACTAAACATTTATGGTGACCAACGAAAACGACAACTGTAGATCGATGAGAGAGATGAAATGGAATGAAGTCTAATGTTAAGTGACCAACAGGATGATTTCATAATCTAGAGTGGAAACTTTAAGAAAGCAATTATACCATCTGTCTGATGAACTCTTTCAGTCAAGAAGTTTGTACATTTCTGAATAATCAATCATTTCTTATTTTTGAGGTTACTTTATAAGCTTCATAGACGCTAATAATAACAAATGTATTATCTACATTAAGATGGTGACTAGTGATGACCAACATATCATCAATATCTTAAATAAATCTACACTTCTAGGATTATCAACATATCTTTGTCGATTATTAACTTCGGTTGGTTCTATTTACTTGAATTTCCCCATTGATATTTAGGACTTCAATTTATCAGTCTCTTATTGGCATATGTGTATCCTGTGAGGATTGCCTCGATATTGCCTTAATTCACAAACATGAAAGGCAATGATGGATGGCGGCTAGCCGTGGAATTCAGGACATGTGTTTCGTCCTATTTGGTACTGTTTTAGCTGGATGTATCTGCATCTTAGGGTTGGTGTTCACTGTCTGGCACTCCAATCCAGTACTGTTCGCTTCAAACTTCATCGCGTTATAACACTTAGCTACTGAGTCCTCACAGCCAATTGCTTGTGCAATCGGGTGAAGTTGAAATTCACTTGGTATTGTTCACTTGAATCTTCCAATTGATGTTTCGGACTGCAATTGATCAGTTTGTTATTGGCATATGTGCGTACTGTGCGTATTACCTCGATATCACATTAATTCACAAGCATTCGAAGCAAACATGGGTAGTGGTTAGCAGTGGAATACAGGAGGCGTGTTTCCTTCTATTTGGCATTGTGGCACAGTACTTATTCAACATGGGTACAGATTTACAGTGAACCTACTTCCATGTTTACATCATAATAAATCATAAGATGAAAGTAGAGAATGAATTCTAGTTATCTGTTATGATAATTCAGAATGAATAAATCTAATCGAAGAGTACATAGTATGCATTCATAATAAAATTTAAGATTGAAGGGGTAAGATGAAGAATCAACTTATTTATGCTACTTTGGTCTATTCATAACTTTGAAACACAACCTGGTGGTTGAAAAAATGAAGCTGAAGTTAAAGAACCACTGGACAGCTGGGGTAAACAACAGTACAAAGATTCAATACAGCTTTCCTATGAAATACTAACAAACTCAATGAATCTAAGATAACTTTCAACAACAGGTACTAAGCCTTATAAGATCTAGTGGATGAAAAGAAAACTGCCGTGGGGAACAATTGAGAACAGATCAAAAAAGCACCAACTTCAACTTCTACTCATTTTCTTTTAAATAAACCATGAATCTAAGTTTCATACTAATTGATCCTCTTCAAGAGTAATATCTGAACTTATGTGGGGGGGGGGGCGGTGAACTGATACTCTCATTAGAATCTAAACTTAAACTATCTAATATTACCTGAATAACCAATACAATTACCATAAAGCTAATTATCTCTAACTCAACACTCTCTATGTAGTACTAAGTAATCATAATTTCAATAAGCCAAATTTAATTCACAATCTTCATATTTTTTAGTAAAATAAAATAAATTTAAATTCTAATGGTCTTTACTTTCAAATAATATTTGAATTTTGATAGAGTTTTGTTCTCTGAGTTGGATGGTTCGGTCGTGGAGCTTTCATCGTTCTTCTGACTAACATCATCAGTACAAGCATCAGGGCCCCCAAATGCCCTGGTACGGCCGAGAGTGAAGAGAGTCCGCTCTCCCTCTCGAAATGCGTATCTAGCCTCCGACAGGGAAGCCCTACTCACTGCCTTCTCGTGGCATTACTATTGTTTACGAAATTTAGAGGACGAAAAGCGAATGTCTGGCGCTTTAACCCGGTTGGTGGACATGGAGAGTTCACCTAGGGGAGTTGGAAAACCCTGATTCCAAACTAATGGTGCACATGGGCTCCAGTATCTTGAAGGAAAAAATGGTTTATGAACCAATTGTTGGTCACCGGCTACCATGGGACTGCATCTCCTTACGTTGCTCCACTGTCTTGTGGATCAGACCCTCAGGTCAAAGGCTCCCAGTGTGGCCCCCTAAGAAAACCACCTTCTTCGGTTTGGGCACTCGGACAGTATCACAGCCCTCACACATATCAAATGAGATCTGTGTGGCGCATATGTATTTGGTGCCTCCTTGTACCAATATCTATGTGTTAAAATAAATAAATAAGTAAACAAACTTCAGGTAGAAGTGAAGTGTTCTAATTTCTACACACATATGGTTCACAGCTTGTCCTGTAGATCTCGATGTTGATTAGTTCTTGTTAACATTAAACCTGTCATTGTTTACTTGTTCATTTTGTTTGTATCTCCAATTGGTTTAGTTCTTGGTTCTATGTTTGTCCATAATTTTCCTGATTGATCCATAAATTGGATTGATTTGAATCAACATCGAAGTGTACAGGACAAGTTGTGAACCATATGTGTGTAGAAATTTGAACACTTCACTTCTACTTTAAGTTTGTACTGATGATGTTGTTCAGAAGAATGATGAAAGTTTCACGATCAAAACCATCCAACTCAGATAATAAAACTCCACCAAACTCATCCATCTGAGCTCACAGTTGATTGATCACTTGGTGGTGATCAATGTCATGCGTGTCAAGTCCTTATTTAGTGCAGATCGAATGCTATCGACCATGCTGTAATGTGGCCACCAGTCTAGGTGACTCGACATTGCGGGCACTGTATATTGAGATTAGATGGTGATTGAAGGTAGTCGATAGGAAACCCTGGACTTGGGTTTCGTGCTACTTGGCGCTCGTCAACATAGTGTACCTGTGATCTTGAGGGAACTGGTTCTCCCTGACGGATTCGATCTCGTGTCACTTAGTTTCACAGTCAGAGACGTTACAGCTGAGCTGTCCGGGCGGCGGGTCCGGGTTCCAGGATCCAGGATTTCCTGTCGACTACATCCAACCACCATCTAATCCATCTGAGCTACAAATCTTCTCCACCAACTAATTATTGTTTATTCAGTTAATTAAATATTAACTATAGCCGCCTGGTCTGTACTAGAATTAAAATAATTCATCTTTTGTTTTGTTTTTTTTCCGAATAAAATGTGAATAGAATGTGAACATCCAAGTAGTTGTTTGTTTAAACTTAATGCTTTTTATCATTAAAATAATTTGAATATCAGAACACAAATAATTTAGTTACTAATTAGTTGGTTGCTATGCGGAAAGATTAGCACAAAGTGACAAAACAGCACAACAACAACAACAACAACAACAATAACAATCCTTTTGAATAATTACTCGTGTATAATGTGACCACCAAATGAGAAATGTTAAGGTTAGAAACAATATGACAAATTAATTGATAAGGTATATGACATAAGGTATATTACATAAATCTATCCATCATCGTTAATAGAAATAAATTGTAAGGAAGTTAATGACAATGAGCCTAGACATGATGTGCTTGAGAAGATTTATTACTTAAATGGATGATTGTGTTGAAGTTTGATTCCTTGAGTTAAATACTCTAGTTGTAAAGACTTCATTGTCTTCTTAGACAACGCTGTCAGGTAAATGCTTCAAGTAGACGTTGTTCAGTACTTACTTCTTCCGCCTGTTACTCCCAATGGAGCATAGGCCGCTGACCAGCATTCTCCAACCCACTCTGTCCTGGGCCTTCTTTTCTAGTTCCATCCAATTTGTGTTCATTTTTCTCATGTCTATCTCCATTTCTCGGCGTAATGTGTTCTTTGGTCTTCCTCTTTTCCTTTGGCCTTGAAGATTCCATGTGAGGGCTTGTCTTGTGACGCAGTTGGGTGCTTTCCTCAATGTGTGTCCTATCCACTTCCAGCACTTCTTCCTGATTTCTTCCTCCACTGGGATCTGGTTTGTTCTCTCCCACAGTAGGTTGTTGCTAATAGTGTCCGGCCAATGGATCTGAAGTATTTTGCGTAGACAGCTGTTAATAAACACCTGTATCTTCTGGATGATGGCTTTCGAAACGTTGTTCAGTAGGACAACATAATCTACATGATTACTGTCCTGAGTTTAATCTTTGTTAGTGCTATATCCCGATGAGAATTATGAATGGTAACTTTCGAGAACTATTTATGGATCAATACGATACACACATTTTTATTGTATGATTGTTAAATAACTAAACTATCTGCATGTTCATGTTCCTCTCATTATAAACTGTATGTTGACCCATAGACTATTATTATACCATTTACCATTCTTGAGTTATGCCCAGTTTAGTAATTACGATCTCCCATATTCACAGCCACATTTGGTTAAATCTTGTACAAATGTTGTTTCCTATTTTATGGTACGATGTCGTCTGTTAGGCTAGTGTATATAAACCCAGTCTATTTGAAATACATGATTCATATCGCAGAGGCTGAGATTTGCTTTGGACTTAACAGAAAAGGGCTACCCAGGAAGAAGGACTGATAAGCACTCTAGATTACTTGTACAGGTTTATACGTCATTGGTCCGATCGATAAACCACTATTCTCTAAATGGCGGTATCATTACGTTATATATATAATGATAAAATCATAAGGTCACAAGAGATAACAATACGGGTCATCAGTGGAGACTGCTGAAGAGTCCTATAATCTATGACGTTGTTTTTTAATAGCTACCTGACTGAAATCATCCCTCAATATAAACCTACAAACATCAACATTCTTTACAAGTACGGACAACAACAACAACAACTACTACTACTACTGCCACCACCACTACTACTAACACTACTACTAGGGTGGCTTGTTACTCATTGAAGTTTTAATAATAATAATAATAATATCACAAACCACAAACCCCTTCTGATAATAATCATCTGCTCACTAGTGACTGACTTCAAGAGATACTCCTGGAGTTCTAGTGAGAAGCCGTTACCAGTGGAGTACAACCAGGTCTGTTGTGAGATATCAGATCACTGAAGACAATGGTATATGGTGGCGCAACTTCTTGGATTGGTTGAAGTTAGACATTAACACCATTGGATGCCGGCTCAGTGGTCTAGCTGGTTCAGCGCTTGGCGCGAGACCGATAGGTCCTGAGTTTGAACCTCGCGGGGTGCGGGATCGTGGATGCGCACTGCTGAGGAGTCCCATACTAGGATGAAACGACCGTCCAGTGCTTCCAGGTTTTCAATGATGGTCTAGCTTCAACTGACTCATGATTTCAATCTGTAAAAATAATAATAATAGTTTTTGTTATTCTCCTTTAAATGATTTTCTTTTCACCTTCTTAGAATCTAAAGATATTTCATCAAATAAAGAGTAATGAAATGACAGAATTAAATGAACCATTTAATAAATTAAAACAATCCAATAATTCAGATATTTCATTATCAAATGTGAATTATGATCAAAAATCAATGAATCAAATTGAACAGTTATTATGTCAAGTTTTAAATGAGTAAGAATATGAAAATGTTTATTATTATTATTATTTCAAATTTACTTAGTTACTTACTTTTGCCTGTTACCCCTCGTCGTGGAGGAGTTATAGGTCGAACATCAGCACCTATCATCTAACTTTGTCGTCGGCAATCCTTTGCAGTTGCTATTCATCGTTTACATATTTGCTTCCAATTTTCGACGTAGTGTGCTCTTTGGCCTTTCACTTTTCTGCTTCCCTTCAGGATTACAAGTTAGTGCTTGCCTCGTGATGCAGTTTGATGATTTCCATAATGTATATTCTATCCACTTCGAACGTCTTTTCCTAATTTCCTCTTCAACTGGAAGTTGGTTTGTCCTCTCCCACAGTAGATTGTTGCTGATGGTATTCGGCAAACTCACATTGAGTATCTTGCGTAGACGGCTGTTTATAAATACTTACACCTTCTTGATGGTGGTTGTAGTAGTTCTGGAAGTTTCAGCTCCGTACAAGAGAACAAGCTATCTTGACGTTCGTATTGAAGATTGTGAATTTGTATTAGTTGACAGACAGTTGTTTTGAGTTCCATATGTTCTTGAATTGTAGGAGTGCTTTGTCAATCCTCGCCTTTACGTCTGTATCGGATCCTTCTTGTTCATCAATGATGCTTCCCAGGTACGTGAAAGATTCCACCTGTTCCAGAGTTCCTCCACCGAATCTGATTGATTGGGTTGGTGCATATGCGATAGATGGGTTAGGTTATCTTCAAAGTTCAAATCATTTAATTTCCTGCAAGCTGTCGATTTTATTCCATCCTTCCACTCAGATGTCTAGGTCTTCACAAACCTCTCAACCACCACCAGATTTTTCAAAGTGAAGATGTTTTTTCCTTCTTTATTTTATCATGAATATCTGCCATCAATGAATAAAATAAATTTCTACTATATGTATACTGTAAAATAAATTGTAAACTAATGGATAATTTCTTATATTGTTCCATGTGAGAGCATTTCGGGAGAGAGAACTGACTCTCCCGATTCTCGTCCGTATCAGGGGGAGATGTATAACCAGCAAAACCATAAATCACGAAGACATCAATCGCCACCCAGTGATCAATCAAGAGGTCGGTCGTGGCTCGGATAGCTCAGTGGTAACGTCTCTGACTGTGAAGCTGGGTGACACGAGATCGAATCCGCCAGGGAGCACCAGTTCCATCAAGATTACAGGTTCAGGGTTTCTTGTCGACTACCTCCAACCACCATCTAACCTCAATATATAGTGCCCTCAGCGTCGAGTCACCTAGACCGGTGGCCACATTGCAACATGATCGATAGCATTCGATCTGCACTGATCGCCACCCAGTGATCAATCAATTGTGAAAGTATTAGATTATACGACTCAGTATTTAAACGTAAAATGCCTTGAACGCTCAGCCGCTAATTTGAAGTCTTGTAGTTCTCTCAATTATTTGTTATACATGATGATAGTGATCGAATTCTGAAGAGCATCATGAGTTCGACAACCACATGTATATTTTTAAGAAAGTTATGTAATTAAAGTAACCAAACAAGACCAAGGTTACGTTTTTTTTTGGGGTGGTGGTGGCAAGTAAAAGATCGATTGAAATCTTGACTATCAACTACAGGAGATTACATACTCCAGTAGAAATGCTTTCATATCCATTAAAAAATTACTAACTGTTTGGACTAAATAGCTCAATGGATAACATGTTGAGTATTGAAAGCAAAAATTACTTGATTTGATCTCCATTTAGTAAACACTAACACTGCGATGCAGATAAATTCACTTCGGTCAGTCATTCAGTCAGCAACAACGTAGAACTTCGTACGTACGTACATCAGTTCGAGTTGTCATACCACATTAGCACAGAGATATATTTGTCAATTCAAATCCCAGCGCGGTAGAGGTAGGTAAAATTATAAGCAGTAATCGGAAACATTAGAGTTTGAAGATATTATTCAAGGAGTATAATCCAGTGAAATAAATTTGGAAAGAGAAAAAATAAAGGGACATGAAGAGTCCAGAAGATTGGAATTCGAAAGAACATAAAGAGTGGAGGCAACTGCGCTATTGCAAACGATTTAGAGCCATGTTATTCAAAGTCTCTAATCATCGGTTGCTATCGTCTCGCGGTCCCCAACCACGTAGTCTACATCTACCAACATGGCTTAGTCCACTTGTCAGTGACTTCATGGATTTGTACCATGTTTTGTTCTGGCCGCTCCTAGATTTTATCCAACTTACTCCTACATCATAAAATACCACTCGTCGGGGCAGTAGGTGATTGAGCATACCTAACACATGTCTCGGTCATCACAACTGATGATAAATTCACTTGAAAAGTTCGAAATATTATGAAGCAAATGTCCTGGATTTGTCTACTAGTTACATACTAAATATACCTAGAAAGTTGTGATGTATCTCAATATTAAGGCAATCCACTTAAGGTACACATATAACATAAGAAATTGATTGATCTCACTCCTGAATATTAACAGCAAGGTGTTATAAACTCTTGCAAATACCTTCATACTCAATGAACAAGTTAGTGATTATTGGTGGGGGGGGCTCAATAGCTTATTAGATACTGTGTTGTTAGTTGAAGATTAAAGGTGCTTGATTCGATCATGTCATGAATTCATTTAGCATATTGATTCATCTTTCATTCTTCTTCAATTAATTTTACAGAAATTCTATTTTAAGAGAAAAAAATGAAGAGTTAAAAGAAATAATTCTTAATAATGAAGATCATTCAAAAGTAAGTTGATCAATATATGCTGATTCATAATGATTTTCATGGAGTTTTGTTCATTGAACTGGATGAATTGGTCGTGGAGCTTTCATTGTTCTTCTGAACGACATCATTAACACAAACTCCACTTGAGCTCTAAATATTCTTCACCATCTCAAGATTATCAATGAAGATCTGCCTTTCAATAGTATTGACTGATCATTTTTTAGTAATCGATGTTATGTTTATTGAATTCTTTTAGTGTTGATCAAATTCTAGTGATTGATCATTTTGATAACGTAGACTATTTGTAGCGCAGGATTATCAAGGAATCAAGCCTGTGGATTTTCATGTTCTCTAAGCTACAAAGTTTAGTTATAAAGCTTTCGTGATCTAGAAAGATCATAATTTATTCAATTGTTCAACTAAAAACATGCAGTATTTAATTATTATTGACTATCTTCAAGATGCATACATATTGGCTGTTTGAATCTTTCCGTTGATGCTTAGGACTGCAATGGATCAGTCTCTTTTACCATATTAGGATCGTACACGAATTGTTGCAATATTACTATTAAGTCACAAACACTATGAGAAGAGGTGAATGGTGGATAGTAGTTGATTCAAGGACGTGTGTTTCGTCCTATTTGGGACTCTTCAGTTGAACTTACCTGTGTACTGGAGTTGATGTTCACTCTGTCTTTGCTTATAGTGTTTGTGACTTAAGGCAATATCAAGGCAATCTGCACAGGATGCACATATACCAACAAGTGACTGATCAATTGTAGTCCTAAATAACAATGGGAGGATACCAATAAAACAATACCGAGTGAATTTAAACTTCACCCCATTGCACAAACAGATAGCTATCAGGACTCAGTAGCTAAGTGGATAACGTGATGGTGTTTAAAGAGAACGAGACTGGGTTGGAGTCCCGAAGTGAACATCAACTCTGAGATACAGGTACACCCAACTGACGAGTCACAAATAGAACGAAACGTGCGTCCTGGATTCCACTGTTAACCACTACCCATCTCTGCTTAAAAAATACCATTGGTTACTACCTAATAGTCAACTAATGTCAATATCTAAGTGCTACATGATATCAGTAGCTGATCAACTAACATACTGATGACTTCTCTAAATGTGACTTCAGAAGATGAGAATTTGAATTTCACAAAGATTATCACTTTCATAAAGATTAAAGACGTGAATTATTGATGAATGTAAAGCTTCCATTAGATCACTGTCAATCATTTAAAGTAATGCATTAATCAGACAATAAGTAAACTATTCATTCGATGAATTTAATTGATCATGGCTAAATGATGATTGTATTCTTCATTCAATTCATCTAAGGAGAAAACAGAATGAATAATAATAATAATAATAATCCCCTTTATTCCAATTACTATAAAGAATTCTTAACCCATTACATACAATATTTCATTAGAGTCCCTCTTTGTATAAGTGTCTAACTTGTGAATATTCAAGAATTATATGTGTAACGATTTTAAACATTGATCAATAGCTATTTGTATGTATCGGTATATTTAATAGTTAATTGAAGCTAGACCACCATGGAAAATCTGGAAGCAATGGACGGCCATTTTGTTCTAGTATGGGACTTCTCAGTAGTACACATTCACAATCCTGCCTCGTGAGATTCAAATCCAGGACCTATCAGTCTCGTGAGAGAGTGTTTAATTGCTAGACCACTGAGCGGGCCAGCATCCAACGGTGTTAATGTCTAACTTCAGCCAATCCATGCCGTTGCACCACTATGGTCTAGCTTCGATTGATTCATGGATTCAACTATTAAATTACTATAACATCCACAAAATCCCTCTCTCATTATCCGTATATATTTACGATCACTTGAGCTTGTCTTTATGACATCTCATTTCATCAGCTAATATATATCCATGAGTATAGTTTCGAATAAGATTGTCATCATACTTTGGAGAGACCTAGTCTTTTATGCTCTTACTTTGTGTGATAGGAATTGTAGTGGTTCCTCATTTTCAGGCATAAGTAATAGAGAATGCAGACATGATAAACTCTGCATTAATTGCTTCTCATTTATCTAAAAGATAGAGAATGATAGAGGAAAGGAGAGTAGAATGTACAAACTATCATAGTGGTACTTCTTAAGCTTCACAATAATTAGATTTCTTGTAGGTTGATAATACTTGACGATATCATGTAAATATACACGGTTAGCAGACATAATGAATTAAATGAACCAACCAAGATGATTCAAAAGTTGGATAGGACTATTACCCTAACCCTCAACAATAAGTCATGTTAATCTGTTATCACACTCGGATGAATGATTTCATCAACAAATTGAAATACCAAAGAGACAATATATAAGGTTTAGACAGTTTTTTTTCTCATTTGGTATTGCTTGATTGTATCTTTAAATTGTTGTCTAGGACTGCAATTGATCAATCTCTTGTTGGGATATGTGCATCCTGTGCAGATTGAATTGATATTGCCTTAAGTCACAAACATTATAAACAAAGATGGATAATGGCTAGCGGCAGAATCCAGGACACGCGTTTCGTTCTATTCGGTACTTGTCAGCTAGTATTTTGTACCTGCAGGTACATCGAGCTCAGTGGTCTAAAGGTTAAGCGTTCACATGCGAGACCGAAGGTATAGGGTTTGAACCACGCGTTCGGGATCGTGGAGGAGGAGTTCCATAATGGGATGTACCTCCAGGTACAAAATACTAGCTGACGAGTCCCAAATAGGACGAAGCGCTTGCCCTGGATTCCATTGCTAGCCGCCATCCATCTTTGTTTGTAAAACTACTTTTTGTTGGATTAAACAGCCTGTGTTGACATGTATATATATTTGTGATTTGTGTGAACGGATGTCTTAACCTTTGTGATAACAGTAATTTGAGCTAAACAACATACTTATGTTTACAACCAGTAATTTATCCCCCCATCTACTGATTAATTGGATACATTTGTATTTTAGTGTGGTAGTATTCGGCAGCAATAATATATGTATTATTTGGTAGAGGTAGCCAAAAATCAATATTCTATATTGATTAAATTGGAGTAAAATTAGTGATATAAGCCATGTGATCCTAGAAAGTACATTTCACATTTTGACCTGAAATGTAGCTATGAAAAATCGACAAAAACCAACACTTACCATTAATTAAATATATATTTACATATTTTGAGATCATGAATCGATCGATTTTAGACCACCATTGAAAATATTGATCGATTTTATGATCTCAATCAGAAAACTTAATAATTACCATGTGCTCATTAATGACTAGCTTCGTGAGGGAATTCTCGGAGTTCTAGTTAGAAGCCGTGACCATTGAAACTAATCCATGTCCGATAGAGATAGGTATCTACTTCAAACAATAGAAAATGGTCACTCAATTTCGTGGATTAGTTAAAGCTAGACATTAGTAACGTTAGATGTCGGTTCAGTGGTCCATAGGTTAAGCGTTAACGCGCGAGACTGAAGGTCTAGGGTTCGAATTTCGCATGCGGGATCGTGCTGAGAAGTTTCATACTCGAACGAAACGGCCGTCCACCACTTCCAGATTTTCAATGGTCCGTTTATGATATTAATCAATAAATAAACAGTTAATTTAATCTTTAAGAGTGAATGTCTAAACTTATTAGCTCAGTGGATAAATTTGTTGGACATTTGAAACGTTACATTCAGTTAATGAATCCTAGATAAGATGATACTCATGTCCTCGGATTTCCTTGCCGGCCATAGACCATTTAATCTATAGACAGCTGATAGTTGTTTTTCATTTATCCTAGTTTATCTTGGATAACTTTACTTTTGATTATTTCCTTCAAATATGAAAAAGAAAGGCTGAACTTACTTTGACAAGTGAAGCATTGAAACTGTGTAATTTCACTATTTACTTGATTTTAAATTAAGAAGAGCTCCTAAGACGATGGATGAAATTTATAGCTCTGAATGTTGGTTATAGTGGAATGGTATTATCTCAACTGGATGACTTTGATTGTGAAGCTTTTATTTCATTTCTTATTTATTTATTTATTTTAACACGTATATATTGGTACAAGGAGGCACTAAATACATATGTGCCACACAAATCTCATTTGATATGTGTGAGGGCTGTGATACTGTCCGAGTGCCCAAACCGAAGAAGGTGGTTTTCTTAGGGGGCCACACTCGGAGCCTTTGATCTGAAGGTCTGATCTACAAGACAGTGGAGCAACGTAAGGAGATGTAGTCCCATGGTAGTCGGTCACCAATAATTGGTTCATACGTCATTTGTTCCTTTGGGATACTGGAGCCCATGTGCACCATTAGTTTGGAATCAGGGTTTTCCAACTCCCCTTGGTGAACTCTCCATGTTCACCAACCCGGTTAAAGTGCCGGACACTTGCTTTTCGTCCTGTTAATTTCGTAAACAACACCCGTGGCGCGAGAAGGCAGTGAGTAGGGCTTCCCTGTCAGAGGCTATATACGCGTGGCCATATGAGAGCATTTCGAGAGGGAGAGCGGACTCTCTTCACTCTCGGCCGTACCAGGGCATTTGGGGGCTATTTCATTTTTTTATTTCATTTCTACCGGAGATCATCATCATTCATTTCAGGTAGAAGTGGACTACTCAAATATTTTTACATATGACTAACGGTGAGATTATAATTTATGGACGACCTTTGAATGAGTCTTAAGTGACTTTGGGAAATATAAGCCATTCAGAAAACAGTTAGTATATATTATAGAAACCAAAGAATTAAAGTAGATACACTTGTTCGACATGGTTTAAAACTTTTGAAGGAGGAACTCATCCCTATCACTTCATGATAGTCAACCTCTGGAGTCGTGATAGGGTCGTAAAACCTATTTCAGCCTCGACAGTATAGCTTCAATATTGTTTGTTTGTACTCCGGTTGTTGGATTCACAAAATTCCGCTTGTGGACAACAACACGATGCACATAAGCAAGTCTATGTTGGCATCTGTATGCTCTTTAATCACGTGCATAAATAGTAGTACCCG